GCACAAGAGTTTACGTATTCGTATTCGTAGGAGTATCAATAGCTATGTAAATATTGATGTTAGTACAAATATTGTGTTAAGTATTAGCAGTAGTGTTAGCGTTCGTACTAAATATTATTGATGATCTATATTCGCAAGTATTACTCTTGATCACGTGAAAATACTAACAGTTGAATACATGAGTGAGTTAAAGGATTTGTATTTTAATATAGTGGTATGCATATTTATATACATTAGTACATACAGGTGTGTGTTAGTATTGGTATTAATATACACTATTATCAATATGAATATGATTATTGATATGCGTAGGAGTACTAATAGCAACACTAATCAATATTAGTATTTGTGTTATGCATGTTCGTACAAGGCTTTATAGACGTGTAACATTAGCAGTAGCTGGTATTAGCTTGAGCATTCAACAGATGATCAATGTCAGTATTAGCAATGGCAATACTATATGTAGGAGTATCAATACATATATGTATAGATAGATAGATAGATAGAGAGGTATTCGTCTGAATATGGGCATGAGTATTGACAGCCCTTGCCTTTGCAAGTGAGTCGTAGTGCATGGTCTGTCATCGGATGGGTCACAATCAGCCTTCCTGAGAATCAATTCCAACAGGTCCAGAAATTCCAAAAATTACAAAATTTTCAAAATTTCCGAAATTTCTACAATTTCCAAAATTTGAAAATTTCCAAAAATTCAACATTTCCAAATTTCCGAAATTTTCAATATTTCTAAAATTTCAGAAATTTCCAAAATTTCCAAAATTTGAAAATTTCCAAAAATTCCACGTTTCCAAAATTTCTGAAATTTTCGAAATTTCAGAAATTTCAGAAATTTCCAAAAACTCCAAAATTTCCAAAACGGCCCGACCTAGTGGAAAGGATTTTTCCAAAACATAAGGGCGGACTTTTTGGAAATTCTGGAAATTCTGGAAATCTTAGAAATTTCTGAAATTTCGGAAATTTCGGAAATGTCGGAAATTTCGGAAATGTCGGAAATTTTGGAAATTTTGGATATTCTGGGAATTTTTGGAAATTTTCAAACTTTGGAAATTTCGGAAATCCTGAAAATTGCGGGAGAGAATTTTGGAAATTTTGAAATTGAGTTTTTGAGGGCTGAGTGCCCCCTCCGTCCGATGACAGACCGTGCACTACGTGTGAGTTGCAAGGGCGTGGTCTGTCAACGGGGGGGGCGACCATATATATATATATATATGTATATATCTGCACATACATACACATGTACATACATACATACATACGCACATACACACAGCGGTATACATGGAGAGAAAGAGCGACCGGAAGGAGAATCCAGAGACAAACGGGCAAGTACGCACGAACAAGATGCGGCTCGGTTTCGCACGAACGGTCCAATGGCGTGCTGTTGGGGATCCATGTCGGATTCCATGCAGGAGTGAGCAGGCTGGACTTGTTTTCGAAGACTACATGCCGCCCGTGGACGAAGGCTCGTGCACTTCTCCAATCCTCTGCGCTAAAGATTGCCCTGACAAGGACAGCAGCCGGTGGAGCAATTCGTGATCCATGTGCAGCTGCGGCAGTGCTCTCAGAAATGCGGTCCGTCCACCAGTCGTGTCGGTTTGCTTCCCATTAAGGCCAGGCCACTACGACCTTCTGTATCTTCAGCTTGATGAGACTCCACCCACGTCTCCTCAAAGGCTTACTGCGCCAGAGGTCTGGTCAGGGAATGTTCACATGTTACTCAGCAGGCGAGCCACCTTGGCTTGTGCTGGTTATGGTCACGAAGGCATGTCCGTGATGAGAGCTTTGCATCCACATCTTGAAAGCTCTGACCCCTTGAGGACTGGCTTCTGCCACGCTCAGTCCAGCCGTGGCCTCAGTGAGCATTAAGTAAGCATCGATCTTGAACAGGTAGCCAACCGTGATGCCTAGATTCTAGACCTGACATTTACAGCCGCTGCTACTGTGATTGGAGGCTCACACCCTGGAGCCTGAGAGAAGAGGCTTGTTTGCGCATCGTCGCTCTGCATGGCCTTTGCTTTCATGTTGCAATGGTAAAAGCCGGAAGCGTGGACCTTTCGTGCAGGTCATTTCAGGTGAAGCCGGTGCAGGACGTCAAGTATTGAAACTGCGTCGCAGAGCTTCAACGAGGAATGAGACGCACAAGCCAGCCAAGCAGTTTCACCCAATCTTATCATAGCTGCGTCAGCAGGATTTGCACTGATCATTCCGAAGTGCATTTAATAGGCATCTCTAATGGAGACAGTTCTCAGTGCATGGCACATCTTCAACATGTGACTTGTTGGCGGAACATGCGTTTGAAAACGAGAAGTCGTTGGTCTCTTGCAACGAGTCCTGTGCCTCCCTGTTTGTGTAGCATCGTCGCATGATGCATGTGGAAACCTCAAGTCGTTCGACTTCTTGTTCTGCAGTCTCTACTGAAACATGCACAGCTACTTGTTGTGGTCTTGCAGGGCAGGGCGCACAGAACCAAGGACGTAAAGGGACAAGAAACGGAGCCAAGGGAGGGAATCGCGGCGATGTGGTCGCTTTTTGTTTGCCTCGCGCAACATCATCATCATCAGCAGCATCAGCATCAGCACTATCATCAGCACTATCATCATCATCATCATTGTTGTTGTTGTTGCCGTCGTCGTGGTTGCGGTTGTGGTTGTGGTTTGTGTTGTTGGAAAGCTCACCACTATCTCGTTATGCGAGCTTTGGCGTGCTATTCTTCGGCACATTGTGGTTCTCGCGAACTCTACGCTACATGCTAATCCCACATTGTTTTAGAGTTGTTCTTACGTGCAAGACAGATGTGGGAATGAGCAAGCTACTTTGTGAAGGAATCATGACTCACACAGCAACCATGTCTAGTCTTGTGTGTTTCTCGCCGGCAGTATGATAGTGAACCTGGCTTGTGGAATGCAGCATGTGTCCCGAGTGAGACGACCCAGCGCTTCAGACAAATTCAGTATCACACACAACTAATTCTGCTGTGCGTGTGACAGGTGTCAAGCCTGTTTCTCACAGAGGGCATAGCCCAGCAGTGTCGCAGCGAAAGCAAGGGTCCTGTGCTTCAAAGACACGATGAGGACGGAGCGTCACCTGTAATCTTGTCTTGACAAGAGACGTCGCGTGTTCGCTGGACCTGCAACGTGTGTGGAGACGAATTCGGCGCACACAAGAACGCAGTCGCAATGCTGACGAGTGCTGGCTGCCAGTCAAAAGGTATGTTTCAAGCTCTCTGCTCGGGTACCTCGGGTGATTTCGCGAAATTTCGCGAAGCTGCTCCCTCGCAGGTGATGATCTTGCGAGGATTGGGTAAAGTGGACCTTGACCCGTGCTCTCAGCTCGCTTATGTTTGAGGCTTCTGGAGTCTTTGCTGCTCCCTGCTGCAAGGATTTCCTTTGACAACAACTCGTTGCCAGTCATTGCGGCCGCAGAGGTGGGATTATCCGTCGATCCACATGATGCAATCTCAGAGATTTGCTTCGAAGGCTGCCCAATTCAATGGCTTCTATCAGTCTGGACCTTTGCAACGGCCATCTGTGGCCATCTGTGGCAACGGCCCTGCCTTGAGGTTCGAGCCGCTGTTTTACCACAAGAGTTTCGACCGCTTCGTTCCCTGGGAGCAGCGTGAGAAGGCCTGCCGTGTTGCCAGTGCTAGTCGCCGTGGCTGTACCCGGTGTGTGATGCGACGGCAGACGATGGTTTTCAGTTGTACGCTCGGGTGCAGCGCTTACAACACGACGGCGAAGGAGGCCATGTAAAACGGTAAGCACTTGTCTCAGAAAGCAGCTTGTCAAGTGACGTGAGATGTGCATGTGCAACGCAGGTGAAGCTTGCTCTAGTCCACGCCTCTCTCGACGGCAAAAGATACAGTTGGTTCGCGCCGCAGTCACGCATCATCTTCGTTTGTACGATCGCGTAAGCGCCACTCGTCATGGATGAAGCTTCATTGGGCTTCGATGCAGGTACCTAACCGAGTTTCGAGATGAGGATGCCAATTCACCGATTATCTATGCCAGAACCAAGCCGTGCCCCCGTGCCTGACTGATCTCTTCGATTGTGGAGCTTTGGGACGCTTGTCAGGCTCAGGAAGTCACCAACCTACCGCGTTCCGTGGTTGACCGTGACACCTGGCGGTGACCTGAAACCTCGAGATTTGGAGGCCGGGAACCGAGCCATTTCAGTGCAGGTTGCCACAGCCGGCTCCTAAGGAGGTCGACATGATCACTGCCTGGGATGCCCTGCGCTTTGACACTCCGTTGAAGTGGGGTGTGACAGCCGCGGCCTCGGAGATGCCAATCATGCGAGGAGCAACCTTTTCTTTGGGCCAGATGCGAGGGTTGCTAAGGCCGTTCTGGTTGGAGGAATCGTCCTCTGGTGCAGATCGACACATGCCTGAAAGATCGCTTTCCGAGTTGCAAGCCTGCAGTGCAAGGGGATACATCCATGGGGATTGATCAACGCAATGCAATCTGAGGAAGGAAAAGGACGACTAACGGCTCTGAGTGGTGTGACTGGCAGCGATTGTGTGTCGACAGTCAGTATGGCAAGCAGATCGGATGAAGGGATGTATCTCAGGTTCACGCACTTATTCAACAGTTAAGTTGGGTTCTTTTCGCAATGCATCAAGCAAGTTCCCATGTTACTTACGTCGAACTCGTCGCAATTGCTCGTACAGTCCGTCGTGAGGACACCGAGGACGCAATCGCAGGCAGGTGGAAAAAGTCACATGCGGTTGTCCTCGCGGCCGACGGAGACGGGCTACCGAGTACAACTTTCATTCCTCCGACGCTGTGCCTCAAGCCGAGAACTTACGGTAGCAGCTGAGGAACAGTACGACTCCATGGCAGCTCATGCGCACAAAGCAATCCAGACTTGGTGGGGCTCCATTCCCGCATAGTTACGTTGCGATCAAAAGCCTTGCTACGTCGTTGCAACAGGACCTCTTAGGCTTGCATGTTTGGCAGTGGCATGTCTTTGAATTGAATGCGATCATGGACTTGCTCAGCAAGGGGCCTCTCAGCTGCAGATCTAGGAGTGTCGGGCTTGAAGCTTGTTGTTCGCGGCTGTCTTCCCAACGCGCACACACACAAACACAAGCACAAACCTCCGCTTGCTCGCCTTCGTTTCAGGTACAAGTTTCTCTCCGAGCTTGATGATCCAAAGGCAGAAGGGCCGGCGCTGGACCTCGAGTCATCACTGGACGGAGCTTCGCCCACGTTGAGATCACGTGAGCTGAAAGTGCGTCTGCATGCGAACGGCTCATGCTGGTCTCGGTACTAACTTGTTTGCTCGCCAAGGGGTGGCAGAGAAGTGGCTGGGATGGGCACGAGGCGCGGTCTCTTCAACTACGAGTGGCATGTCTCTGCAAGAGCATCGGGATAGAACTCCGGAGCAGGAGCAGACCCCACGCAGGGCTCTTCCAATGCGGAGGGTCAGCGCCGGCGTCTCTTCAGCGAGGAGAGCGTGGATGGCGACGTGCAGGCGCACTGTGCATCACTGCATGCCTCGGCGTGTTCCTACGTTCGTTTCGACCCCAGGGTGGGCAAGCACCACAAGAGCTCCAAACCGTGCATGCGTTAGAGCCAGGCCGGCAGTTAGGAACGATCAATCTTGGAGGATGTTTTTACGCCTAAACAGGTGCTGGGAGTGCTACGGAGGTGTCAGCTGATCACGTTGTGCAGGAGAGCTGCTTGAGAGCGGACGCTGCAGCTCTCTGTCTCTCCCGCCCCGTGTCCTGACTGTTCCCGGCCTGTCTATTGGTAGACGGAGAGGCAACGCAGGCAAGACAGCAGCGTCCTAGGTGTTTCCACGTCTCTATATTAAGACGATTCGCAAGCAGACATGTATGCAAGGCACCTCATGTTACACCAGATTACTTATTCCTTCTTCTGCATGCCCTTTCGGTTGTTGTCCATGTGATCTCTTCAGTGAGCAGCGGATGCAAACAGGAGGAGCCGGCAGACTATGCCACTATTTCCGCACTTCCCCCTGCGCCTGCCGTCGTCAGCGACGAAACCTTCCAAGGGAATCCCTTCGATGGGAACCCCTTCGCCGAACCTGCTGAAGTGCAGCAATCCGTTGAGCCAGACGAGCCGGCGGCGCCCGCCGACCAGGCGAACGAGGCGGAAAAGCCGGAGGAGCCCGCCGAATCGTCCGCCGAGCCTGCGTGGTTTCCAGCCGACCCAACGCCCTTCGCCAGCAGAGGGAGCGGCGACGAGGAGAGCTCGGAGAGAGGAGAGGAGGCAGAGCCGGCAGAGCCCTCGGCCTTCCAGCTGCCTGACGCCGGAGAGACCGCGGCCGAGGCATCGGCTGAACCACAGCTATCCGGAGTGGGGTCAGGGGCCAGCGTTCCAGAAGCGAGCAAGGTCCCAGTCGAAGCCGCAGCAGAGCATGATGAACAGCTCGGTGAGGAAGGGATCAGTGCAGATTCCTCACGAGAAGCCATCGCAGAGGGCGACGGATTGGTGCAGCATCCGGGCCCGCAACTTGGAAAGAACGAGTACTCCGCCAGACTCAGGTTGAGAACCCTTTGATTGAAGTCATGCACCTTTACCCCAAGATCTGAAGGTCTTTGCGGTAGCTCAGGCACTGCGAGCTTGTTACATCGGCCAGCAGGGAGGGTGCTCCGACCGAGCAGGCTGAGGCAGTGGTGGCAGGCGGACTCAGCGAAGTGAAAGTCCTGTGCGAAGCTTCGTGAGGGAAAACCTGGCCGCTGGGCAGGCGAAGGAGTGCTCCTTCAAAACTCCCCGCTCGATGTCGAAGGTCAGCCGATGGCCAGTCCCAAGGTGGAGTTTTGGTGACGGAGGGCACGTCGGTTGGCTGCTTTTCGTTTGGTCGGCTGCAGGATGGACACCACCACCACCACCACGAAGTGGCGGAGCTCCGCACGCAGCTGGAAGATGCACACGGCCAGCTCCGGCAGAGGGAGCGCGAAGCTAAGAAAGCAGGTTTTTCCAGATGTCTCCAGCATGTTGGCAAGTGCTTCGGAATTCGAGCAATTATGCCTCCAGGCGACAGCTTGCCGATCTTTCCAATGTCTTAGCAGACATGGAAGCACGAGAAGTCGCGCGCCGCGACCAGACGCAGACGGTACGAACCAAGGCCTGGCCAAGCATCACAGCGTCTCGCCTTACTAGCAAAGTAGCCCCAAGCAGCCTTCGTCAAGGCGACAGAGGCTGTGCGTGCAGCCGAGCGTGAGATGCAAGCCGCCCGCAAGAGAGCGGAGCAGGCAGAGGCCCGCGGAGCGAGTTCTGTCTTTCTCTCGCCTGCTCGATGTCCCCTTTTGCTGCCATCCTCCCCCAGGTCAACGAACGACGACTAAAGCAGGAAGTCGGGCCCTTGGACTCCGCGACTAGAGTCTAGAGGCGGTGACCTGGGTCCATGATTCAAGGCGCGTGACATGGAGCAGGAGCTCCACAAGGCTCAGGACGGAAGCGGAAAAGATGCGACACCGTTCCGAAGAGCGACTCACCAGCAACGCTGTCTGCAGGAAGCATGGAAAGAAAGAATCCGAAAGGCTGAGTCAAAAGCACAAGAAGCAGAGAAAGATGCGCTTGCAGCCTAGTGGGGGGTGTATTTCCAGGAAGAAACTCAGACGAACTGGCATGAGCGACATTGACGTGGTGCCTGAGGAAGGATGTGGCGGCTGCAAGTTCAGCCGAGCTGGCAAAGGTGAAGGCTCGGATGCGCGTGCAAGCAGCTTGGCTTGACCGAGAACGCTTGCATTTGCCTGTGCCTCTGCTGCTACTTCGGGTGTGCTCCTGGGTTTGGAACCTTTTCTGGTCCTTCATTTGCAACGCAGGAAGAGATGGGTTCCAGCCAGCAAGCACATGGTTTCAGGAAGGGTGTCGGTCTGGATACAGGCATTAGGCAGGCAAAGGGTGCTGCTGGCCTCGACGAGCATGCAGTCAGTTGTCGCAGGATCTGCAAGCTCCCAAGTTGCGGCAAGACAAGCTGTCAAATCAAGAGATGAGTCAGACTGCGATGGTGTACAAAGTACGAAGATGCTTAAAGCCAACAATTCGATGCCGAAAGCATTTTCAGCAGAAGGCAGCAGACTGAGACAGAGACCGAAATTCAACGCACCAGATCGACAGTTACTTCAGCAAGCGCAGAGACGCAGCCGGCAGACCTCCGAGACACTGTGGAGCCTTTCGGATGTGAGTACGCAGTGAGTAGGCTTATCAGGAGGATTCATGACCAAATTGGCATGCAGTTACTTGAGGTTGCTTCTCCCGAAATGCACTGAGGCTGCTGGCAGCGAGGAAACTCGTGGCGAGTTAGAGGACACCAAGCCTATTCTGCGTGTTGCAGCTTTGAGAGGTGAGAGGAATGAAGTTGAGCCTTCGGACCTACGACGCATCCACAATTTTAAAGTGAAAGCCGTGTAAGGGTTTCGCGGCAAGGCCTACAAAGCGAGGACCGAAGAGGAGATGAGCCGCCTCGGAGAGCGCCTCCGCCAGAGCCCTTCAGTGTGCTTTGGTGCCACAAAACAGAATCATTTCAAGTCTTCAGGGGCGGCCGCAGACGGCGAGATGCAGCTGCGGCAGGAGCTCCAGCAAAGTGAGCAAAGCCGACTAGAGCTGCAGGCGCGAGATGTTTTCATGCTTTCAGCGGCAAAGAGCGTGGAGCAGCTGCGTGGTGACATTCCCCCGGAAAGGAACGAGTGGTGGAGCTTTCAGGCAGGTGTCGTTGTGAGCCGAGTGACTGGCCTGTCACGACATGCTTTGTGGGATAGTGGGATAGGCCAGCTGGAACACGCCCAGCAAGCATACAGAAACTCGGCTGACTGTTTTTTTTCCCTTTTGCCACCTCGTGTTGTCGCTTTGCTAACTTCTGCCACTCGGAGCCGAGGCGAAGCTGCTCGCGAGGTGCCGAGCGGGGGGACTGGCAAGCGAGCATTAGCGAGCAGCTGGCTGGTCTCGGAGGTGGGGGCGATGTCCCTCCGCTTGAACGAGCATCTGGGCAGACTTCATCCGGTGCTACACTTGAGGGCCCTCCGGCTTTTGTGATTCTGCCCTGAGGCTTGAGTTCACTCAGAGAGACGACAGCCACTCGGAGGTTCGCCCAGAATCAGAAAGAGAGCACTCGATGACCCTGCGAGCCAGGATGTCCTTCGCCATGAGCTTTCCTCAGCGAAGGAACGGCTCTCGGAGCACGGGCCTCGAAAGCGTGGTCTGGTCTCCCCGCAATTTTCAAAACATGCAACTGCAAAATCTGCCCTACCTGTGTTCTGAGGATGGACGATCGCCTCAAAGAGCCTCGCAGTTGCAACTGGACAGACAGGGTGATTTCTCAAGTCGAGGCAAAGCTGGTGACTGATGGCTCTGCATTCATCCTAGCATCGTTGATTTGTGATACGAACACCAGAGCCCCTGCAGGATGTTGTACTGGTTTGCCCAGCAAGAGCAGTCGCAGTTCCCGAATGCCCCAGGTGCACCTGGATGAGGGACCATGCGCTGAAGCAGGCGGAGGAGGCTTCAGCCGAAGCTAAAACACCCACAGCAACAGGTTCTTCGCTTCACTCCCCCTGGTCCCTTCAGGCCAGGGCGAAGCTCCAGTCAATGGAGGAGGCGCGCTCTTTGAATTTGAGCATCTCGTAGCGCCGGAGCGCTGCCAAGCTTTGCCATTTGCCAGGCCCAGGCCCAAGCCCAGCAGTCCGAGGAGGCCTCGCGGATCCTCGCGGCCTTGGGCAGCGCTTTTCGTTGTTTTTATCAAAGCATGTCTGATGCAGGCCGGCAGTGGCCAGGCCATCGAGGGGCTGATGTCGGTCATGGTAGATCCGTGTTGCTCTCATCACGGCCATCGTATGCCGCCAGGAAGCGCGGGCTGCACTTCACACAGCGCAGGGAGAGGCATTGCACGGAAGAGTTGGTGTCATCTTGGCCTTGGTGTGGCGTGGCTTCCGCTTCAGGTAGAGGCGCTGCCGGGCTCCTAGTTTGACACGGCTTGCATTTCGTGGGCGCTAGCTACCAGCAGCAGCAAATGACGCCATACCGTAGCGAACAGTTCACTTGCAGCAGTGCGAGGCAGCAGCAGCTGCAGAAGTTCCTGGAGCAGCACAAGACAGAGTTGCAGGAGCAGGTTCGTGAGTGCTGTCAAAGGAACCATCCATGCGCCTGTCTGTCCACGAGGCAGAGATTTCTCGCGAAGAGATTGAGTACCTGAAACGAAAGAACGATGTGACTCGGATGCATGAAGTCCATTGCCATGGCGGTTTGTATTGTATTCCCTGCGTGGCCAAGAGTATCTCCTCGCGTGCTGGTATGACAGGGATGGGGCCCCTGTCGATTTCTCATGTATCAGACTTTCGGACTCTTGCAGGAGAAAGACAAAAGGCTCGAGGTGGGCTCGAGAAACACTTTCCCATCTAAGCACTAGAAAGACTTCACGTTCGATTCCTTTCTCCACGGCAGATCCTGACCTGCGAGAGAAACGCTCTACGCTATGCTGAGGGCGCAGAGGCTCGCCATGGCTCGCCATCTTGCGGGCCCGATGTGTGCACCGTGCAAGAATCTGCAGGTTTCCAGCCGGCCAGGGCGCGTTGCTCCCAAGACCGAGACTTCCGAGAAGGCTCCTGCAGAGAAGTTTTGGTGGAAAAGGGTGGAAAGGGGGGATGAGAGCCTTGCTTGGCCAGCCGCTGGTCGATCTCGAAGATGGCCTCTCCTTGAAGGAGGTCCTGTCAAAGGAGCCAGGCCAGGCACAGTCGCTCGCTGCGCATTCGTGTGCATACGAGATCAAACATCCTGGATGAAAGTGTGTCTGCGTTTTCAGCCAGGTGCTGGCGGGGCCGTCAAGGCCTTCATAAACTGCAGCAGCAGCGTGGGTGTCTGCGAAGTTGAGCAGATTGCGGCAGGCCTTTTTTGCTGACGGTGACATTGTTCTGAAGCGCTTCAGCAAGTGAAGGACCCAGTGATCCCAGGAGTTGCTTTCACAAGTAGCAAGATTCCTGCGATCACAGCGCCGGTGAAGTGTCTTTTGACCCAGGCTGCTTTTTGCCAGCCCGACCACGCGCAGAATTTTCTACGGCCTGTGCCTTTGTGTTCTTGAAATTTCTTGAACTTGAGCATTGGCAATCCAATCTGCAGATGTTCCACTCCACTGTAGAAGCAAGTGTGTTTCTCGAGGCTACGTGCTTCTGCTCCACATCTGGATCTGGGTTGTTTTACATAGGGCTGCTGCGGTTCACTCCGCCCACACGATTTCAAAGCCCATCGCTCCCAATCCGTCTTAAAATTGTCGCATGGCTTGGAATCTGCACCGGCGAAGTTCATCCACGCGATTCTTTCGATCCGATTTCAATTCATGACTAATTCAAAGGGCCGACATTAGTCTCCACAGCAAACAAATCTCGGAAAGTATTGGTGGCCCCAAAGACGGTTTGGGGTGATCCTTGGGAGTCTGGTGTGTAGTACTGTGGTTTTTTTTGTCCCGTAGGTCTTTATTAGGAAATGTTGATTGGCACTTATCCTTATCATTTGGGACATTTTTTTTTGTGTTTTTTGGGGAAAACGAATTCGGGTGCGTCGCGGGAATGCCGCAGACCACGGAACTTGCGGAAAAGCGATTTGGAGTCATCGTAGGGAATACGGGGAATATCGTAGGCCAAGTAATTTGCGAGATTGTGGTTTGGGGAATATTGCGGGACGACGCGTGGCCACGGAAAGCGGCTTGGCACGGGTTGGGCAATGTCGTCGATTACGAGAGCTCGGGGAGAGCGGTTTGGGGAGGGTCACGAGGCGATGACGGGAACTTGCGGTATGCGGCTAGATATTTGATATTTCTTTCTTTTTATTGAAGAAAATTGGTAGCGGATCAAAATTTTCTGATTTGGGATAGGACTACGGCGTTCGTTACTCGATAACAATGAAAATAAATATGATTTTATTATGATAAGATTGG